GCCCATTTTTCTCGATGTTGGAATCGTAAACAAACGCTGCCAGTAAAGCACGCTGCCATCGGTGTACTTTTGTTACCCAGTAATGCACCGCACATGGTGTGTTTGTTTGTTTGTTTATCTGTTTTCCACAAGAAAGTACTGTAGTACATCTTGATTCATGAATAAAAAGTCTGTAAAAAACGTTTTAATTTTATACCAAGCAACTGTTGCTTGGTATAAAATAAATAATAACATTCTGGATGTTTATGATTGGACTTGAAAACACACCCCGCCATTGTATGCTAGTAGATTTTATTTTATTTTATAAATAGAAAAATTTATTAGGTTATCACTCCCACCTGCATCAAAACATTCGGGAAATATTGATGGGAATAAAAAAAATTTTTTTGCCGCATCAATTATTTCAACAGCAATTTTGTGACTTAAACCACTTTTTATACAATATTTACTATTATTACATACAAAATATAAATATTCCCTTCCTCATCGATAAAAACAAAAGTGAAATAATCTATTGTTAAGATTTTAAAAAAAAAAAACCGCCCTCCCTCATCAATTTTTTAAAAAAAAAGAGTGACAATCTAAGAATATTTTCTGTGCCCTTATGTGCTTTGAATTGTTTTTGGTGTTGTTTTTTTTGTAACTTTTGTACTTTTATTTAAATTGTAGTTCATAGTAATTGATTATTGACTTACTTGAATATTTTATGTATCTGGTGTATTTATGTGTTGTATGTACAGTAATTGTAAGAGTAATTTTATTCATGTGCCCTTTTAATATTTTGGATATATTTTTGAACTGCAATTTGATATTTTCTGTATTTTTGATCATGAAATTCAATTCAATTTGTTGTAAATAAAATTTGTAATAATAACTATAACTTTAATTAATATTTAATATTTAATATATAATATTAAATTATGTAATGAGTAGTTGCCTAAAATTGCTTTTTGTAATTTGATGTTTGACGTATTTTCTAACTGTTTATGCCAGAATCAAGGAACATTTCTGTTAAGGAATTTCCAATGTGAATAGACCAATAAAGTTCATCTAATTACCTTTCTTATCTTATCATCCTATGGTTACAGTACTGTACTTTGGTCAAATTTAAATGAGTATAACTTTTTGGTTCTGTTAAGGCCAACTCAGACAGCGTCGGCCGACGCAGCCCGACGCGATTTGTTGTCGCGTCGGGTCTGTGTGAGTTGAACGCAGACGCGATGGTGTGCGTCGGGGGCAGTCGCGTAGT